AATAAATAAATAAATTGTAATTATCAATTGCAATTATCAACAGATACTTGCATAATAAAAGAGCAACAGCACATTGGACATAATCAGAGTGGATCTGATTTAAATCAAATCTATTTAAATCACAATTAAATCACTGCAAGGTGAATAAAACATTTCAATTAAAATATATTTTTCATTTAATAATTTAAATTTTTTTTAAAAAAATCATTGATTTTTACTCACCCTGCAGTGATTTAAATCAATTTGATTTAAATCAAATCCACCATACAAACAAACCAATACAAACCTACCAATTTCAACCAAACAGGAGAGCTTTAAAGTCTAACACAGAACTGATATGCTCTGTGTTAGAAGCAGGGCCAAACAGAACCCTGTTGCACTCAAAGGCATCATTGGCCTCTCCACCCTTAGTCTACACACTCTGGCTGCCAGCCACCCCTCTCCTTTGGTGAGAGCCCTCCTCACAGCTTTCGCTTGGGTGCCCCTTCTGAGTCCCTTCCTCATCTTGCCAAACTGCAGCTTTATCAGGCTTCAAGGTGGTGAATGGGGAAAATCAGGTGGAAAAAAAAAAAGGCAGCCCCTTGGTGTCAGTCTCTCCAACATCTTTCTCAATATGTGGAATCCCTTCCATGTAAGTTACATTAAATCTACAACTGAAAGATTTCAAGAAAACAAGCAAATGAGAACAGATCTGTCACATCTTAAGTCAATACGTGCAGTTGGATTGACTAATTTTAGATTTCTAACTTTCTTTAAACATCTGTCAGGGCAGTGATCCAGGGAAAAGGTAACATGTCCTCATATGTGGGAAGAAACACAGTAAATCTCATCTAGAAAAAACAGATGGCAAGTTTGGCTTCGGCTACTATTCTCTTCAGAAACAATGGAAGACTTGGAAACACAAATGATCTTCCAATGGCTTGGGACAACGGACAGAATAATCCATTAGCCATGATTCACCCACAAGTCCATGGGCAGAAGTGACCTACAAGAAGCAAAAATAAAATCTCTTCTCTCCTCTACATCAGTGTTTCCCAACCTGGGGGTCACAAAGAGTTTTCTGGGAGTCATGGGTCAGCTTATATGTGACCCTTGTCAAATAATTTCTCCCTTCACCTTTCAGAGCAGGATATTAAAGTTAGTGTGTGTGTGTATGTATGTATGAGAAACAGGCTCTGCTTTCCGAGAAGGATGACGAGGACTTTTTTTTTAACAAAAAATAAAATGCCAGTGTAAAGATATACTTGCTGCCACTTCCACAAGAAAGTGATGCATCTCCCCTAAAGAAGGAGAGAAAGAGGGAAAAAGTAGGGGGGGAAAGCCCACCCACACAATAACACACCCCAGGAGGGGGTCACAAGAAGAAATGGCCTACCTCTTCTGCAGTGGGTGCAAGGAAAGCTTTGTGATGGTTTCTGAGAGGGATCCTCTCTGCATGAAGGTTTTACCTTCTCCCTAGGTACCACAATGTCCTTGTGCCCACTGACCCATCTCTGAAGTCCTTTGACTTCTCTTATCCCTTCCTTTAATCTCCCTCAGCCTGCTCCATCCCCAGTTTTGAAGTGGTGGCAGTTGAGTTGGCAGCATAAGCAGTAGGAAGGCAAGCAGCAGCAGTATCAGTGGTGCCACCGTGTCAGGGAATGATGACAATGACCTATTTATGCAAACACGGTAGTGGTGGCCTCACATATTGGCTATTATAAAAAGAGGTCATGACTCGAACAAAATTGGAAACAATGATTCATACTGTAGTCTTGGATTACTTTTAGGTAAATCAATTATCAGTCTTGGAAAGTAAAAACTATTTGCAAAGCTATTACACAACAAGAACTAGAATCCCACTGCTTGGTCTTCACCCACCGACTGACCGACCAAACTCTTGATCAGACACAAAGCTTTTCAATGGAGTAAGCAACTCCCATCAGTTCTTGTTCTTGGGCTGGCAGCTTCAGCAGGAGCCATCACCCTTTACCATTATTATATCCTCAGAGATAAAAGTATAAAAAGAAGCTCAACTGATATCAGCATAAACTGCAAATGCCCACTAGCCAAGAGCTACCATCTTAGCTGTTGCCATCGGTGGGAAGGACACCGAAGTTATTGACATAGTGCTCAGAAAGAATCTGAGAGTGACAGTACTTTGCAACATATGTAAAACCACCATGGGATAGAACCTATCCCTTCTGTTACCAAAAAAGCAGCATTACTCTACATATCTTTAAATTCCAGCCTGGATGACAAAACCAACGTTTTAGCTCTCTGTCTAGAGATTCCTATATGAAAGTGAACTGATGCATTTGAATGTCTGCCTCCTGAAGGCAGGTAGGTAGGTAGGTATTTATTTATTTATTTATTTTATTTAACTGACATATATTGAGTTGCCAGGACACGTCGACCAAAAACGTTCTCTTCTCTCAGATGCACTGTTACTGGTAAGCACACTGATACATTCATAAACATATTTATACACTTCATTCAATTCTTTGTCTTATTTCAGACACTACAGAGCACTGCACATCTCATATAACCATCTTCTGTGTATGCATTGGAATACATTTCTGGATGACACCTGAAGCTATGAAACTTGTATTGTTAATTATGTAAAAAGATGATCCAACTGTAATTGCAGTTGATCAAACTGAGAAATGCTGTGTTTCTCTGGAATTCAAATAAAACTACTATTTTCTTTTACATGTACCCAAAGTACTCACTGGTCTCATACAGGCTGCTATGTACCAATAAGAAAGAGCATAAATGAGCAGTAACTTTGTTAATGACACAAAAAAATTCTGAGAGTATTTTTACAGCTATGTTAACGTAATATCGCAGAATGTGAAAATTGAAGCTTCACTCAAGATGGGTTATATCATGGTATTTCCTTGGGGCAAAACTTCATTAAACTAATTAAATAAGGATCTCTGTTAATCCCAGGACAAAGAAGGCTGGGAGACAATAATATGAATTATCGCATTCGCCGACGTATAAGACGACTGGGCGTATAAGACAACCTCCCCCAACATTTCCACTCAAAATATAGAGTTTGTTATATACTCGCTGTATAAGACTACCCCCTCTTCCGCACACCTTCCACACACCAAATAAAAGGTGCTATTCATCGTCACCATTGTACGGCCGCAGCACGACCACAGCGCCTCCGGCCTGCCCCTGCATCTCCCTGTAACCGGCACTACGCCGCGCTGGATACCTTGCGATACTGGATGGTATGTAGAATGAGGTGGGCAGGCATCAGGAGGCTACTATGGGCACCGGGCGAGTATTGGAAGGCCACTATGGGCAGCTATGTCTATCCCAACTGAAGTGCCCCCGGCGTATAAGATGACCCCCCCACTTGGAGGCATGTTTTTCAGGGCAAAAAAGTAGTCTTATATGCCAGCAAATACAGTACATATCAAAAATTGCTGAGTGCTCTAAATAAACCTTGCTTAACAATTCTTATATTCAAACTTCTGACTCGCAGCAGAGCAAGAATGCAGGAACTTCCATTCTTCCAGATGCTGAGGCTTCCACTCGGAGAAGTTCCAGCCAACTTGGCTATGACTAGTAGCTAGTTGATCCACTAGCTGCACTGTTTCCTACAAAAGACAGACCTGAACACAGCCACCTTTGCCTTATCACCTCCCATTTAAGTTACTGTGCGTTGGGTACCCCTTGAAGAAAGGGTTTTGCAGACCATACAGCTGCAGGAACTTTTGGAAAAACAACTCATGGTATCCAAAAGACAGAACATGCTAGCAATTTGTGTC